GACTTGTTCTACGAGATTCGCTTTACATCGATGACAATGAAGGAATTTTGTTTGCTCAACATTCGCTACGGCCATTTGTTCACGTTCGAGGAATACAAATACATTGTTCAGAAGATAACATTGCCGAAATTGATTACACCACTTGGCAGTCCAATGTTCAACAACAGCCTCCGTGAACCACAATGGATTGGCAGTAACGTGCTCAATTGTTATCGTCCCATAGAAATTAGTGATGAAAATGCGAAAGACGAAAAAATGCTTTCTATGTGCTTTGTTGAAGATGAAAGTGAAGACGATGACACCGACGGCAGCGACGACAAAATGTCGTGTGATGAATCCTCCGAAGAGCCATTTGCAACGGGTCACTCCCCGGTTAAGGACATTGAAACCACCACTTTCTCAACGAATAAGGCGATTGTATTGGGAAAATTTGTTTGTTCTTGGGTATCCATAAAGGAAAGCAATGGCAATTTACGTGAGTTAAACTCAACTCTGCCCGTTCATGTGAAAATTGTTGAAATTCCAGGTATTTTTGAACCTCGAAACATCGCCAGAACTAATACACTCGTCACATTCACATCAGCTCTGCAGCCAATGAAAGACACAGTCATCACACTGCCGAAGCCGGTACTCATTAGAATTGGTCGTAACTACGAAATTCGAATGCAACAATCCCCAGACAGTCATTGCTTTGCACATCGCCAACTGAAAACAAAGGTGCTGATTGGACACGAAACCATCATTCGATTCCATGACGATCGACTGTGTCGCAACAAACCAATTGGATTGATCCAAGAGTTGCTGTTCAATCCGTTTTGAGGAGTCGCCAAAAAAAATTATTTCCATTCGTTATTTCATAAACATTGTTCAAAGCTATTCAAATGCAAATAAACTGACGATAAATTCAAGTAATCATGTTTGATGTCATGATCATTCTAACAACGATAAATATTTGTCTGTATCGATTTTTGATGAATTTTGATGTTGAAAGCACCTAATCTCTGTTGATTTTTTTAAAAATATCATTAATTTTTTCCATCATTTCTTTTCATGTTTTATTCAAACTGTATAAAATGTTCAATACGTGACATATGACATAATATGTATCACGACGCGAGCGCCACTTTTGCGAACCAACGCCTTTCCATTCACACACTGACAAGTAATCCACTGTATAATTGTGATGCGAAGAGCACATTTTCATCAATCACGCGATTTTCATTTTATCGCCAATAAATCGCGTTTAATATCAGTCATCCTTCTAAATTTCAGTTCAGAAACTGTATCATTCTAATTTTAGAGTAAAAATAATTTCGACCAAGCATTTATTTTCCATTTCTGCATAATTTTTTGGATTAAATTGAACAAATAACCTCATTGTGGGGCTGTGCTTTAAAAACAGCACATTCTGATTGAACAAGTCTATACGGGTAAATAATCTCAACCATTATCACATTTGATTTACATTTTATCGAAAATTAGTACAAAAATTAATAAATTCGTATCTACAGCATTGGATTTTGGAATGATGAACAACCAACACGGAAGTGAGCACGTTCCACTCAAAACGAAACCAAATGCTACTCGCACTGAGGCTATGGAAAGGGTGTCCGATGTCGTTGAAATAAAGAAGGAGCCAATGGTCAAGGAGGAACCAGAAGATCATGGCGAAGTATCTATGGTATCGGTGCCACGATCAAGCTACACTGGCTCTACAGTTGAATTCGATGTCGAAAGAGCAAACAACGAGCTGAGCATCGAAGATTTGTATTCAACGCATGCCAAACTGGAGCTCAAAGCAGAAGCTGAAGCCGATAGCAAGGTTGAATCGACGCAAAAAGGAAGCAAGCAAGCAGGTGGAAATGACACTTCGAAGGGAAACACTGCGAAGAAGCAACAGGCGAAGAAAGGTAGTGCGGCGAGGCCAAGGTCATCGGTTGGAAAGTCGAAGAAAGGGGAAATTGGATTGAAAGGCAGAGCCAAAGCGTTGATCAATGCTGCGCATAGAAAACAGTCTGCGGGAAGAAATACCAAGAAACAGCACAAGTGCCCGACGTGTGATTATGTCGCATCACGGCCATGCAATTTGAAGACGCATATGTTGACGCACACTGGCGAGAAGCCGTTCCCATGCAAAATCTGTGACAAACGGTTCAGAAGAAAATACCATCTTCAAAAACATTTGAAAACACACACCGTTGAATATCCGTTCAGCTGTTCAGTTTGTCTCAAGAGGTTCGAACGGA